CTTCTCTCTCTCTCTCTCTCTCTCTCTTTCTCTCTCTCTCTCTCTCTCTCTCTCTCTGTCTCTTTCTCTCTCTGTCTCTCCCCTAAGGGCAGCGATCGTCTCCAGAACGATGAAAACTGGGGAGAGCTGTAAGGAACCCTCGCGATCCAACGGTGGTCGGTTCCAGGTGATGCCCGACTCGGAAACGCTGCTCGACCATCACGGACTCTACTCGGTGATATCAAGCTTACGACTACGGCTGCAGCCGGATCACATCAGCGACGACAAAATAAACGTCAGGTAATACCCGGGCAATCTCTCCGTTCGCGACGAAAGCGTCGCTAGTGCTATACAAGCTGAATCGTTTGATTGCGCCAGTGAAATTTATTTGTAAACTAGTTGTTGCATGAAACAGTGCGAGCCTGAACTTTGGTATTAACCCTTTGACTACTGTTGGCGTCTAAAGGCACTCAGAAAACGAGCTTGCGATACTGTAGCCTATGGGCGCTTACAAGTATCGCTTTATTAGATTATCGGATATATCACATGTCGATGTTAAACTTTCATGTACAAGGATTCAATGTAGAATGCAAATAATACTGTTTTAATCCTTTGCACTCCAGAGGCGCCTCTAAGTCGCCAAATGATTTGACACAGAGAAACTGTAAACTTTGTATAATGCGTTAATGTACGAAATATTGAAAGAAAATAGTTCTCTTCCTCGGTGCATGTGAGATTTCTTAATTCAATCTAAGGAAATGTCGTCTGTATCTCGTTAGAAAATGTTGAATACTTCCGGTGAAGAATTTCTGGAGTGCAAAGGGTTAATGCAGCGGATTCCAGTGTTTCGATTTTTTCAATATATCTTCTCAGAAATCCATACCTAACGAAAAGTTCTGATGTTCTCAGTGTCTCAAAGTCTGCAGTCAAAGGGTTAAAGGTAAAATAGTAGAAACGTATCTACCGAAGATGAGTGAAATAATTCGAGTCGTAGGGGTCTTTTTACGGAAGTTGTGTAAGTTACAGAGATTTTCGAGTTACAAAGGGACTCTAGTGTGCCGTATAATCGAATCAAGAACCGACGATTAATTTGTATCGATGAATTTTGCCGAAGATGCGAGGCGACGGTGCAGGTGGACTCGAACTCGGACGCGCCGCTCGTCAAGACGCGCACCACGGAGGTATTCGGTAAGCCTTGGCCGCGATTGCGCGCCGTTCTTCATCTATTTTCCGTCTTTTTCCCCGTCGGTTCCTTTTTTTTTCTCTCCCCGTTCCTTTTGTTCTATCCCCACCGGGGGCCGGCTTCAACGTTAGCGTTAGCGAGCGGAGCGGAGCGGTAGGTTGGGTTGAAACGCGGCAAAACGACGGAGGCGTTAATTAACGCGAGCTTGACGGCACGAGAAACGATTACCTCGTTATTCCTGGAGCGAAAGAGCCGCGGAACGAGCGAGAGAACGCGACGACTCACTTTCGCAGGAAATTAAGCATCGCCCGCGAGCTCCGACGAATTAAGGATGCTTTACGATCGCCGTTCGCTGTTCGCCGTTCGTCGCTGTCCGCGGAACAGAGAGCCACGGACCCTATATCCCGCGCCGTTCCACCGTCTTCCGCGAGACCGCGAATCTATCGAAATTAAAACAATAATTTACCTGCCCGTTACTCTCGCCGCACTTCTTTCTTACCTCCTCCCTACCGTCGTACCTTGTTCGCGGCGTTCCCCTTGCAGTTTATAGCGAACCTTACGTTAACCCTTCGATGATTCTTTGGAATATGCAAAAGCTTCAGCAGATGAAGCTGAATTACCTATCAATTGCTTAATTAATATAAAAAAAGCAAGCTATATGCTAATCCCGTGCTGTTCGAGTAATTAACCCTCTATGAGCCAAATTATGTTTCATGACTATAACAAAATATCTGCCATACGAAATTAATGAATATGTACATATGAAAACGAATTAATAATGTATTCAATAGTTTGAATAATTTTATTAAATTAATATATTTTGTATCCTTCAAATTAGAATGACATTGAACTTTCACGCCTGAGCGTACAAAAGTTAACTGATTACTTAATTTTATTCACCACTTTGCCGTGAAAACTGAAATAAATTAACAGGATGCCAATATATTGATATGTGACTTCAAAGTTACATGGGCCTACAAAGGATTAAATCATTTGTTTGCCCCTTAGTCTTTCAAAGACGAAAATTTCATCTCGCCGAAACGCCGACATTCGTCCGCAAAGGGATAAGGCAGGACTACGGTTTTTACACTGTGACCATTTTTCACCTTTTTATTCACTGGAGACTTACTAACAGCTTGCTTAAGACTATTTGATACTTTGCCACGTAAACACTTATCTAAACAGTTTGTTCATTACCAGAAACTGATAAATCAAGATTCTTAACCCTTTGCACTCGAAAGATTTTCGCTAGAAATATCCAACATTCTCCGGTGAGATGCAGACGATGTTTGAAACGAATTAATGCGAAACATACGTGAATTAAGAAGGAAAATTATTTTATTTCAATATCTCATACATTGACGCATCGTGCGAAGTTTAATATTATAATTTTGCAAATCAAATCAAGTGGTGAGAGTCATCCCTCGAATAAAGGATTAATAATCGGTCCACTATCTTATACCTCGTATATCCAAGAAAAATTCGATTTGTTCGATATGTCAAAACAATTAATATCCGAGATTCCGTAAGTGACGTGGCGGTCAAAGTATTAATCATTCATAATTCATTAAGAGAAGAAAATATTCCACGCTACCCGCGTCTGCGTTCCCTCCGGAACGCTACGAATGGTAATCGAAAAGTAATATTTACCTTGGACACGGAGTAATTAACATTTATGTTTATTCTATTCTCATATTACACGGCGAGGAGTTGAGTATAGTATACCGCCTATTAAAATCACACTCGACCGAATCAAAGGGAATCTGTATCGATCCGATTTCCATTTGCAGTAACACGCAGCGTGCAAACCGCTCGTAAAGACCGTAGTCAAGACCAGTCCAGCGATTACAACGGCCGTCTAAGTCGGCGACGCTAAGCGGCCGTTTTCACGCGTCGCACGCAATCACGGCTCGATCGAATCTGCCGTTCCGGGCTCTGTATGCCGCGGCACGTCGCGCGAATCTCGCGAGAGTCACGGGCCGCAGGATCCGCGCGTAACGACGCCATTGTTTGGCCACAGACCGCTCGCTCCGCCGGACCAGACGCTCCTCCCGCACGCAACTCCACGCAAACTATCGCCAGCAGGAAATTAGGGCGCGTTACACGTCGACTGGGATCGATCGGCGAAAGTTGACGTTGTTTCTTCCTTCTTTTGTAACCATTTCGCTCGATCGAGCGGTCCAAACGTCTTAACACATGACCGCCGGTTAAATTTCACCCACTGAAAACGCGAGCGTCGGTGATTGTATTGATACATTTTTAAACATCTATTAACCTGTTAAGTGTGGGATTTAGTTTAGAAAATCGCTCATTGTGCGCGCAATAAAATCAAATAATGAAGCGTATACTCGTTAAATGCATGCCAAATGCACTTAAAATATATCCTAACGAAAAACTAAAGCGAAACGAAGAAGCATTACATGTTTGCCTCGAAAAATAAATAATCCATCGTTGAAAAAGTTAGCACCATTAAGAGTTTTAAGATGACGCGTATACTCGTCAAACACGGTTAACTGGTTAAACCAAAATTTCTAATTTACGGAAGAGAATAAGGAATTCGATTTTGTAAATTTTACTTTGGATTCGTGTTATACATATCTAAAATTTTACATGATTAATCAATAAATTACAACGCGCGACTATTAGAGTAACGTCCGTAAAGTCGGTTAGTTCGCGGTGAAACTATTGCCTCCGCGTCGGGACAGTCTCGCGCGGTGACAGCGCATTCACGAGTCAGGCCGTAGCGGAAAGGTTAAAACGCGGCCCGATTGGGAAAGCGGGACGAGGGACGGAGCGCCCTGGCGAAATTACTCTTAACGATCCTCGATTTTCTCGTTAGCCGGAGTCGTTTTGTAGACTCGCTGCTCCTCCCTGCGTCCCGATCGTCAAGACGTTCGTCGGGGCTCGTCGCGTGTACGAAGTTTCACCGGGTTATCGACGCTCGCGACGTCGCGTCGCTTTCACGGCCGACTAGCGGCGCGGATCGGGGATGAACGTCGCTCAACATCGAACGGAGAGCAAAGTTATCGGGGCGACGAGCCGCGAACTTCGCGCGCGACGCTTCAAAGCTGTGAACTGCGGAAGCTGCCCGATCTCGGCAGTTTTTCGCGTGCTCCCTCGTTTTCTTCGTACCGAGGGCTTTATAATTTTGGAATCTAGAATCTTTCGACTGTGAACCAGTCACTTGATTTATTATATTTATATATAGTCGATGGTTGTGGAGTTATATGGCGTATCCACGTTTCAAGCACTGGATTCAAGCTTCGAATTTTAATGGAGCTCGTTCTGTGGACGCGGAGTTTACGAAGTATCGAGGGTATAGACGATAAAACAGAATTGTGCGATCATGTTTGGACAATGTGAATTTGCAAGGAGTAATCTATAGTCTCGACCTTAATCCTCCGGTTTTAGTGTTCTTTAGGTTATTGCCTGGATCTAGTTGATCTAGTTGATTCTCCACTTAATTGCTAGTACTTGTATCCTCATGCAATTCCATCAATCTCCTCCGCTTCTAATCCCACAGACTCACTCTAACATATGAATCCCCAATTACACGAAGGTAGAGCCTGTAACTGGCCACTAATGTATCAATTCCACGAAAGAACTCCTCGGGGAACGTAAAAACCGTGAGATCCTCGTTCCCCTGACGTGAATCGCCTTTGCCTGTTCCAGTGGAGGGTCACGCGAGCATGGCGTCGCCGTCGGTGTGTCTAACGGTGGCGAGCGCGTTGCTGTTGCGGCTGCTGACGCCCGTTTAGAGAATCCGTCGGTGGAACAGCGGATCGGCCGGTCAATTCGACGACAATTCACCAGCAGCTGAGGCGACGACGCGACCCGGCGAACGAAAGGAGAAGAGGATCCGCGAGCGGACAGCCGTCGTATAAACTCGCGTTCGCCGTTCACCGTTCCCCGGCGGGCGAACGATCGCGGCGACTCGCGATCGATGGCCGGTTCAACGTTCGCGGATTATCGGGCCGTTGCTGGAAAACACGATTTACGAGACTGTAATCCGATTAATCTCGCGAAACTCCCGACTCCCGCGCGCCCGCGGGCCCGGGGCGCCGTTATTCCGTCGAAAGCCGGGGACGGGATGAACGACAAGGAAAACACTGCTGCACGGACGGCCCTCTCGGCCGCAGAAACACGACGACACGCCGGACACGCGCGTCGCTGGTGCTCGTCGGGAAGACGCGTCGCGTTGGCTCGGTGGCAGAAGGAAACGAGGAATGAAGAGCTAGGCGTCCCGATGTTCCGCCGCGTATCCCGCCGTGTTCGCTCGCAAATTACGCGCACCCGCGCACCACGCAACGCTCTGCGTATGGTGTGCATTGTACATTGACGGGAAGAAGGTACTCGAGATGGAGCGGGGGTGGGAAGAGTCTACCGTGGTTTGTTTCAGTATTACGCGATCGGATTAATGTAAACGACGTGCTCGAAGGCACGAAGCGTTTTCGAGACGCGAAACTATTTGCAGTTCATCCAGAGATTGTTCCTCGTCGAGTGGATACTCCATTGACGATAAGTTTGACGACGTCGAATAGTCTAAACACAATCTTCACTCGTGACGAACGATCTCTCGAGCGACTGTCGACGGTTTCCCTGTCGAACGAACAGCCGGCTTCGTAATGGGCGTGTCCTTTTCACTCCGACGACTGTAGTCTCGCCGTGGACTATACTCGACGCAGCGAAGGTAAACAAAGGCACACGATAACAGACTTAGGTGCGACAGATACCTTCCAAGTGGCTTCTTTTCGTCAACGCGCCATACGCGTAACCCGTTTACGGCTTCGAAGCTTCCACTGTCCCGTGATCGGAACTTACGGAGAAAAGAAAGAAAGAAAGAAAGAAAACGTCGCGCCTGTGCACCTTCTCGCGCCGCCCACTCTCTCGTAGCCTCGTAGTCGCCAGGAACCACCGAACGACCGACAAACCGACAGACGAAACCGACAGCGGGAAGAAAGGGGGCCGATCTGTCGGCCGCGCACCGCCACCGATCACTCTTCACCTCTCTGAACCCCTCGAACGCCCTGCCCCCGACCACCTCACCCACACCCGCCAGTCCCTTCGCGCCGCGGGGAATCGCGTACCGCGTGCGTGCGTCACCCACGCAACTTGTATGTATGTATGTGTGTGCGGGCAAGTTCTGTATACTTGTATATACCTGAGACGCGCGTATACCCGGCGTTATCTTGCGTACCTTACCGGATAGAGAAGAGATACGAGGATTCCGTGATCGCGCCGATATGCGATACTTTATCGCGCTTTCCGTAGCATAGACAACGACCGGTGGGCCAGTGATTATTCGGACCCTGGCCGTCGTCCCCTTTGGGCTGACGGAATCCAGGTTGACGGGGTGAACCGATGACAGGAACGGGGAGGTACTGTGGAGGTTTAACGTCAGCCGAGTTGACCTTTCGTTCAGAAGTGAAGAGTACGAGGACTCGACCTCGCGACGACCTGGGCGCACAGTGCAGTTAATGGACGTTTCTGGAGAAAATATTAATTATTTAAAGAATATGAATGATACAACGAAAAGCTTCGGAAGTTGTAAGATATAGGGATATGGTGATCTTTTCTTACGTTACAGGGATATTGAGGTCTTTCTGACATAAGGTATTTTACGTTTCGATTCCAACGTTGCGTAAATAGAGGAATGGATTTGCAGAGAATTGTTATTTTTGAAATGGAGGTCATTTTGTATAGAACTTAGCAACACATTGGTAACCTTCGTTGGGATTTTAGATAAACTATGCGTTCGAAAGCTGAGCGTTCTGTCTCCTCACTACTGTTCACTTTTGAACCAACTGTCAACTTGGCTGACGCGATACCCCAGTATTCGGTGAACGCGAGGAAAGCTGAGGTTTTGGTATTTGTACTTCTAAAGGAAGAACGAAACGATAGCAATGAAAGGAAAAAAGAAACTCTTCGACGCTGTGAAAAGGATTAATCAACCCGAAATTCGATTAATTTCAAAAGTCCCGTTCCTGCAGAAACAACAGAAACACGCCGATCTCTAAACCTGAAAAACAAAGGGTTGTCGCCCGCAGAAGTCCGATTACAAAGGGGAATATTTAACGCGAGATCCAAAGCAGAAATCGCAGTTTGTAAATACAGATACTAAAATCGAACCGCACGCTTCCCTCTCATTCCCGAAAAACCGTCTCTTCCCGTCACCCGTCGCCGCCCGTCGAAATCCGAACGCTCATCGGAAAAGACCGCGTACATGTGTGTATGGCCTAATGTATATATTTCGCATATTTAGTAAATAAATCGTATTTCATTACAAGCGTGTTATTCGATGTGTCCCGAGCCCCCGCATCCCCTGATCCCGGGTTACCCGAGCGCGACCCGGACCGCACAGCGCACAGCACTCGTCCCGAAGATACGTCGATTTCGTTCCGGCCCGTTTGAAAGAGTGATGAGCGGCTGGAATCGATCGGGGTGAACGTTTCTCCGCAGAGCGGGCAGGATCTATTCCGGTCTGGCTGGTTCCGTCGGTTTACCGGTTCACCGCGTCTTCCAGCGGTCGAAAAAGAATTAATTAACGGTCGTTCGTGCCACGGGACAATAGGAGGCGAAGGCTCGTCCGACGAGAGCAACCCTTAGCTCGTTACGAGGGAAATTCTAGACCGAATAAACGGTCGGTCGACGCGGACAGCAGTCCCGGAAGCCGATCGATGCTAATGCCGCGTGCCAGACCAGACACGGACCACGGGTATCCTTTGAATATGTATCGATGCCGGTTTCGTTTCGTTCGATAGACCGGGATCGCGCGTCTCGAAGAAACGCTGGGAAATTGTACGAAAACCGTCGGGTTCCCACGAACTCCGGGAACGCCGACATTGTTCGGACACTGTATACTTCGTCAGCGACGTGGATACTCGTGGACGGTTTGCAGATGTTGCGGTTGTATCGGAGAACTAATATTTGACACCAGGAACCGAGTTGCTATTGATTTTCTTTGTAGCTGGATGATCCTGCGAGCTTAGAGATTAGGCTCGACAGATTTTTCTTAATTTGATTGGAGAGTACTTTTATAGGTGTCCCGTTTGAACTGTTATATTAATACAGTAAAATTTTGCCCTATTTTACTAGAACTTTAACCCCTTGCCCTACAATAACGAGTGAGACTCGTGGTAAAGATTTTCAACATGATTCAACAAATATCTATATTGCTCAGTTCATTTGAATTGAAAGTAAATATTATTCCTCTCTAAACAACTATTATACTTGAAAGGAATTATAGGCATAACATATGCTTCGAATTTTTCTATTTTTCAAATAAATTATTAATGACAAAGTAGGCGCATCGATCAGAGTTGAGAAAGAAATCATAGGCCAAGGGGTTAATCAGTTCCCATTGTTCGCGAGCGCGTCCGCGACGAGATTAGTCGTTCTGTTTTCGACTTTGCGTTTCACGCTCGGACCCTACGACCTTTTACAGTGATAAGGGTGTTGAACTGGTTTTTTGTTTCACGGAAAAAATATGATTTCACACTGAAAAGTACAATGTTGAAGTAAAACAGTGATTCTAACGATTTCATCAACACAGAGGTTGACTTTGGATGCTTGTTTCTATGTTTGTTGTTGAGACTGGTTGTTGATTACGCGAACCGATGTTAACTGACGCTTAAGAAAAAAAGTCGTCATATTTATAGGAAAAAGGAGCATCTACCGAGCGGCCAATCAGTGCGACGGTGAGTGTCCTACTGTCATTTTCGGACGCGTAACATATTGTACCTGTTGTACTCATAAATGTATAATAAATATATATTCTCAACGAACCTAAATACATCCCTCTAAAGACATTTTCAATAAAACGATTTTAAAATTGAAATAAAAGCTGCTAATAGAATAAAATGAAGGTTGATCCAAAACCCCCATCGCCTAACTCCGCTTCCAACGCATCGCTGAAGGACCTCGGACAGCTGTCGTGCACGTCCAACCTCGCTGAACGATTACAACGACAGCCGAGTCTCAGGGACTGCTTCTAATAAATATGACCCGGCGAGATCGCCTCTTCCTCCCCGGACATTGTCCTCGCAGATATTCGAGCGACGCGAATCCTCGGTATTCCTGGCTCGTTTACCAACTATCCACCGGGGCCGCACTCACCCCCGCCGGCAGTCTAGAGAGAGCACGGCTTTATTAAAATTATTATAATCGCGTGGCCCCGGAGATCGTGAAAGCGGCGACCTAATAAATCCTCCGTTTCGATCGAAATTGAATTGAAAATTTGAAATTGAATTTCGAGTTGATCGATATTCCGGTCGCGGGCCGCGTCGCCACCCCTTTAATTAACTTCCCTCGACGCGCGGACCGACACCCGGAGAGGACCCGGCCGTCTTTGTCTATCCCGTCGTCGGCCGTCACCCCGTCGTCGCGTGTTTCTTGCGGGAACAACGTAATTCGGCGAATTCGCGCGTCGAAGCAGAAGGATGGGAGTGAATTTTTTCGGAGCGACGGCCACGGACATCGCGCCGGAAGATTGTGGTCGTTTATTTCGGCGGAGGGAGGAATTCGTACCTCACGGGAGGAGTAACAAGTTCGACGGGAATCATCGATACCGTTAAAAGTTTCAGCCGAGCGTGGATCGTGCGCCCGAGGACTCGCGCGATCGTTCACCGTACCATTCGGTAATTTCTTCCGTTTCTCGCCGCATCCGGAATTATAAAATGTTAAACAGTCCTCTGGACCGGCCGCGTCAACCCGAACCGGACTATCGATCGGATCGAGAACGCGCAGTGACGCGGGAATCTCGATCACTTATTTAATATTTTAATTGCGAACGGATCGATCGACGTCCCCGTCGACCCGGACGCGGACGGGTTCTTCCGTGAGATTTTCGGGATCGATCCTTGCGAGACGGCGTATCCCTCGGATCGCGCGCGACGATTGGAAATCAATGACGTTTATTAATAGGATATTCGCCGACAATGGGAACTCTCGTGAATATTGCAGGTTATGGATTCTTAATGCGATCTGCCAATTACTTCTACGTTTATTTTCCATTTTCCAGTCGGCATGGATGGATGGTATTTCAACGGTAACGGCCGCTAGATAGGACTATTTCCAGCGCTTCCATCGTGAAAAACAATTACCCAAGAACGTTCATCTGGCCGTGGAAAGTTTGCGAATCTCCCAGCAGCACGCTACGCGGGGGAAGCCGGTAAACAGTCATCCGGCAGGCGAGGCGTCAATAAATCATCGAATAATCGAAAGTTCGTCTTTCGCTTAATTTCCGCGCGAGACTCGCGCTTCCCGCGTCCTCGACACCGTCGCGGAACACCTTGAAATCCCGGGATCGAACGCGTCGACGGCCGTCAACGTCGAGGACATTATTTTTGTGGGCGGACGGCCGTGCCGTTTCCTGTAAAATAAATTGCCGCGCTCGCGATTATTAACAACGCGTATCGATCGCGAGATGAATTAATAAACCGGCGGAGTGCCGGTGTCCGCGGTCTCGTCGTCGCCGGGCCGCGGGCGAAAATGCAATATTAGCGGCGTCTATTTATGCGCCGCGTTTCCGCGAGGCGACGCGCGACAAATCCGGCCCGCAAACACCGCCGCGATGGAAGATGACGGGGCCGACGCAATTTCATGGTAAAAGAGAGCGGCTCTGAAAGATTACGCGTCGAAGCGGCCGGTTTCGAGCGTGCATGAGCCCGTGACGAGTAACCGTCTCCGTTGGTTCTCGCGAGACACTCCGCCATTGAATTGCGGCGTGCTGCAGTTTCGACGCGTTGTAGACCCAATTTTCGTGACACTGAAGTAACATTATCGAAGTAACGCTCTTGGAAAGAATGGAAGATGCTTTGAACAATCATGGCAGTAATTTAACGCATACTTGAGACGATCCGTGTTTCATGTTTTCTGCAGAGAGTAAATTACGTGTTTTCGTAATATTGTAACGGTATAATGTACGGGAAGTGAAGATTTGTCTTATTTATTATTTGTATCTCGTAGAGGCGATATGCTTAATAAAATATAAACTATTACTAGTAGTTGATTGCTTATTTTCCAGAAATCAGAGGACAATGTATTGCAAAGAGAAATAGAATTCTTCATCACTTGATTATATATTAACCCCTTATCCTACAACGAGTGAGACTCGTGGTGATTTTCAACGTGATTCAACAAATATATATATTACTCAGTTTATTCGAATAGTATAATCAACTATTATACTTAAAAGGAAACATAGGCCTAACATATGCTTAGAATTTTTCTATTTCTCCAATAAATTATCAATGACAAAGTGGCCGTATCGATCGGAGTAAAAGAAACCATAAGCCAAAGGGTTAATCACTATAAACAAAGATACCCAAACAAATTTCCACATCCCACAATATCCTATGAACAACGTCAACCTCAGAAAGAGCTTGAAATCGTAAAGACTCACATTCGAATGATCATCGCCCCGAATATGCATCTATCATCAATACAAATCCACAGGCCCGAGATCGCAGCATCTTATCAGCGATGCATTATACCTCGGCGCGTCGCATCGATCACTGGAATCACGCTTACAGCCACCTTATCCAATCGATCGTCACGAAATTTTCATTCGCGGTCCGTTTACACGGAAATATTCAAGCGGCGCGATGCACCCGGGAAGATAGCGCGCGAAAGCGGGTCGACAGCGGAAGATGCACCGCGGCTCGCGGCCCGCTCTCTCCCGCCTGTCCCATTCGTTGATGCAGCGCGGCCGGGCTTGAATATTTCGCGAGCGAGGCACCGAGGGAGATTTCGATCGAGAGAGGTCGAAGGAGCGCGCGCGGGCGGCGGTGCTACGTATCCACGTATTCAACCGGGCCCGAACGAACTCGCGGGGGCTAAGCGAGAGCGCAAATATTGATTTTCAATTACGGCATTCGTGACTTCGCGCAATGTCCCTGTAGGAGCGCGGGCTGCCTCGGCAGCCTTGGCATAAAATAAACCGCAATATCAAGGTCCATCTCGATGCACCGCGGCCCGCGATCGATCCCGAGCGTCCTGGCTGCCTAACCCGACCACTCGCTTGCTCGCTCGCTCGCACTATCCCTGGGTTCACGCGATCCTTCGAGGACGCGTCGTAGAAATTTATTTATCCGACTCCGCCGGGAAACGGACGGGACGGAAGATGCACGATCGCACGTTCCTTACTCTCACGGAGAAGAGGAAGACGAACGGCGGCAATTAGAAGGACGCGCGCGGTCTGGCCTCGATCTTTGCTGATCCTCGATCGAGGGCGGTTCTTCGAGGCAAACGGGGATCAAGGTTTTCGGGGGACAGTCT